ATAATAACATATCAGTTGTATGTTTATTTTACATTGAAGTAATAATCAAAATGTGGTAACACAAGAAAAATTCTACATATGGACGCACGATTTTTTACTATGTGTTAAACATAAATGTGTTACATATAAAACAAATGGCATGAAATTTTGTATGCCATTTTATATCAATTATTAAGTAGTACGGCATAGCCGAACTCTTTATAATTTTATAATGTTGATCTGCCCATCCGTCCGATTGTTCATCTGTTACATTTCTTAGAAATGGGTTAACTTTTACGAATTCTGTTTTCGGCGATAGATATATCCAAGAATCTTAGGTTGAAGCAAAATATAAGTCAAATCAGTTGATCATAAGAATGTCAAGATCAAATTTAACAAAGTTCTTCCAATTGTTACAAGTAGAATTTTTTTCTTATTTTCTGCTCGAGTATTTTTTAATATTCATATCTATTCGTCGATGATAATCTAATAACTTTATAATTCGTATCTGTTGCAGGGCAGTTCCAGTCCGAGAGAAGAAGTTCATATGGAATGGCATCACGAGGGTCGTCGTCGCCGTCGACGCTGCCGATCGCGATAGCGATGGCCGCCGTGATGACAGTCGTGGCTAGTGGCCTCTGCCCGGCACGATGTCGATGCGACGACGAGAGCTTACGGGTCTCGTGTGCCTACGCCGGTCTCGAGGTCGTGCCGATCCAGTTGAACCCGGAGATTCGCCACTTGGACCTGTCGAACAATCGTGTGACCAATGTACATCTCACTTTCGGTTTCTACGGAAATCTAGAAAGCCTCGACCTGAGCTCGAATCTCCTTCACACGTTGGGCCTGGCGAATTTCGGCATGCAGCAGAATCTGATCACGCTTAACATCAGTAGCAACATGATCCACACTTTGGCGAGGAACGCTTTAGACGGACTGACGTCTTTGAAAGAATTGAACTTGGCCAGCAACAATATCTCGGAGATATCCGAACAGGCGTTCAAGTCCATCAGCGAGCTGGAAGTGTTGGATCTAAGTGACAATTCGATCACGAGTCTATCCGACGAGTTGTTAAAAAACCTGCATAAGATACGGACTCTGATTCTGAACAATAACTCGCTATTAGAAGTGCCGACGAATAATCTGGCTCTGGCGCCAAGTCTCGAGCGTGTAGATTTGTCGGATAACTTGATACTGGAGCTCGACCGAGATTCATTGCCATCGTTACCATCGTTAATCTCCCTAAATCTATCGAACAACGTCATCAGGTACATCGCCGACGTTGCATTTGATCGTCTGCCGGATCTCCGGTATCTGGACTTATCCGGGAACAATCTGACTTCCGTGCCTACGGCCGCTCTGGCCAGATTGAACGTTCTGACAGGTCTCGTTTTAAGTACGAATCCCCTTGGATACTTGGAGGCCGTAGCCTTTCGCAATTTGTTCGAGCTGAGGATCTTGGACCTGAATGACTGCATGATCGCAAACGTGAACGCGCGGGCGTTCGCCGATAACGTGAACCTCGAGCGCATCTCGATGGACGGCAATCGGGAATTGAAGGAGTTGCCAGCGCGAGTTCTTTACGGAGCTCGGTACCTCAAGTGGGTCTCGTTACGTCGATGCAGTTTGGCGACCCTGCAGCCGACGCAGTTTCCTGTGGACGGGCTGTCACATCTACGAGTTGGCGGCAATCCTTTGGTGTGTAACTGCTCAGTGCATTGGCTTTGGAACGTGATTCGCGCCGAGGAGCGTCGGAACGAGACACGACTCGAACTGGACACCCACGACATCGTCTGCAGCGACGAAGAATTCGCTGGCAGAGCGCTGATCGCACTCTCTGAGGGCTCCCTGCGGTGCCGCCTGAGTCCCCTGTATCTATCGCTGTCGGCCGCTGGTTGTTTCTTGGCGGCCGCGGCCGTGCTCACCCTGATCGCGCGGTTAACTCGCGCGAAGAGGAAGAGACAGTCACTGGCGTACGCGGCGCCGAATCGTCCCGAGTTTCTGGTCTACGTCGGTAGGGGTGACAACGGGCTGGACAAAAGCGCCGAGTCGTACAGCCGCCGACTGTTGGCCAGAAACAACGAGGACATCTCGTACGATTCGCCGCGCGGCAAAGTGGCGGCTGCGATGGCGGCGACGACGACGACGACAGATTACAGCCCGCAATCGCGGGAAACGAACATCTACGAGACGCCGCGGTATGCGCATCCTGGACGTCGCGACGCCGTCGAGCCTACGTTGCAGGGCAAGCAACCTCCAGTGGAGGAAGGGGTGTACGCAGTAGCGGACGTGACAGATCTGCGGGATGAGCCTCCAGAAGTGCTATCGCTTTATCGTGCACGTAGTCCTCCCGTCGCCAGGTCGAACGCTCTACGACGGTTGGACTACAGTTACGATTACGAGTACGATTACGATTACGGACCGACGGCACCGCCATCGCCGCCGCCATCGCCACCACCACCGTTATCCGAGAAACCGCATGTCGTCTTTGTATGAGGGGAGTTGGGCGGTCGGAGGTCGTAAGCTGGTGGGTCCAGCTGCGGCGGTAATCAGCGAATCTGGGGATAGTCTAGTCGTTAGGCGGAACCAGATACGCCGTCGACTCCGTATCACGGGCCTTTAACTATCCGAAACTGTCTCGAGATTATTGCCTCAGCGCGACGTCTTGATACTTGAGGCGTTGCGCCGTATATGTGTCGAGAGGGCCAGGGTGTGTGCGCTGGGACTTGGAGTGGCCGCGAGAATGGCACGAGAAAACACGAAAGATTTTACACCACACTTCGAATCGCCATTCGATCGTTAAATTTGCACGAGGTACGACATTGTTTGGAAACGAGTGCATCGGTCCTATCCGTGTTAACTCTCGTTATCGGTCACCCTACGTCTCATTACATATGAGAACCAACGAACTGCAGGTGCATTTCAGCACGGCTGAAGCAACGGTAATGTTCGTTCGCACGGATGGGCACGGAGAGAGAAGAGAAAGAAAAAGAAGATAAAAAGAACGACATCCTGTGTTCCAGACAGTTTGTACCGCGGTAAGACGCAAGAGTGGCGTCGAGATTGTGGGTGGACATTACTTTCCACTTGGTGTTGGAAGAATGATCGATACCGCCGTCGTCGTCGTTTCGTCGTCGTCGTCGTCGTCGTCGTCGTCGTCGTCATCGTCGTCGTCGGAAAAGCGATTTATCCAAAATTCTGTTGCTCGAATGAGAACTGGTGGTGCTTTTGGCTCGTAAGAAACCGGCGGGATTACGACGTGCAACACGCTGAAATTATCCCCCCAGGACAAACAGAAGCAACCGTGGACGAGTGAAAATGAAATGTCTTCCGAGATAGTTGCGCCGCTGCTAGAGAGAAAGAGAGTGTGTGTGTGTGTGTATGAGAGAGAGAGAGAAAAAGAGAGAGAGAGCATGAAAGAGTGAGAGAAAGAGAAAGCCAGGATGCATTCTCACTGAGGGAACACAATCTGACTCGGAATGTAAATTGTGTGGGAGCGCAAGAGTACGTTGTACTGGCCGGGTCATGAGAGGGAAAGAGAACACAAGAGGAACCCGTATTTATTTTGCGAGGATTGCGAGTTTGAAATCCGCTAGCTCAGTGCGAATGCAGTGGCCCGATTCTGCCCGGCGAGCATTCGTTTTGTCGGATCCGTTTGAACAAGTAGTGACAAATCAAATCAAAGCTGCGTCGCGTTAGTCGATTAAAGGTCCTCTTAGAGATTACTAGCTATCTAGAAATTAATACTCTTCGCTCCAGACTCGGGGGTTTATAATTAAACTATTGTCAGCTACGTTACAACCGTCAAGGTTGATTAATACAGCTCTTATTATCCCCCTCCCCCCGTCCCGCCTCGGATATTTAAGTATCCGAAACATTCGTTTAAGCTCGGACTCGGTTTCGCACGTATCAGTAAGTATTTGAGTATCCGGATCCAAATTTCTTTACTTACACTAACACGAATTTCTAGAAGTTATTGATCATTCGAATAATAACTGAACGGTGAATATAAATTATTAAACTTTTTGTAGCGCTGGATATGAAAGCTGACTCCAATATTTGTAATTGAAAGTCCATTTGCTAGATATTTGATCTTTTCGTATTCAAATTGAACGAGTATCCGGATACTCGGTCGCTCTCGAAGCTTACAAATTTGAGCTGCGCGATCGAGAGCGCTATTAATAAAAGAACGATAAGTCGTTTGCTGAAAAGTTACGTTAACAGGTTTCTCCACACAAAACATGCTTAAGGGAGCAAAAATTACGTTATAAATCGCGAATTCGACTTTTTTCCCTCTTTTGCGACTGACATAGGGAGGGATCCCTCGTTCGTACGAAGTATTGTAAATTGAAGCAATAATAGTTATGACCTTTTACTCTGTAAGCACATTACACACCGAATATATTTAGGGAAAACTACAAAGGACACATTTATACGAAGCATAAGCAAATACATAAAAATATAAATATATAAATATAAATATATATATTTATTTATTAATTTATGATGTTAAGTTTGGAAAAGAAAGATGTTACGTTTTGAATACGAAAATATACTCAATGCAGTACGAATAAAGTGCGTACGTTTCCGTTATAGGAATCATCGGACAGGCTCGTACTCGCGACTCGCTATAACGATTCTGTTTTACACACCAATAAAGATACGTATGCACTTATCTGTGCGTGCGTTTCTCGACGTAAACGACAAAGGAAATCGTTACGCGAATCTGCGATTACGATTCCTGAGAACCTATTTGTATGTGTATTTCTTTCTTTCTTTTTTTTTTTAATATTTGCGCACGCCTTCAAACGCACCGCGTTCACGAAACCTAACGGAATATGCAAAACTTCCTAATTGGATCCGCTTGTAAGGTAACTTTGAATGGTGGTAGTAGTAGTAGCAGTAGTAGTAGTAGTTTGCAGCATCCAGAGATTAAGTCTCGTTACTGAATTGCATTTTCCTACTACGGGTCGGGGGAGCTTGAACTTTCACAATGACAGAATTTAAAAGGAGAGAAAGATAGAGAGGGAGAGAGAGAGAGAGAGAGAGAGGGAGATTAAAGACGTTTTCTTTAAATCGTCAACGTTTGTTTGATGAATCTCGAAGTGAATAGACGATAAATTTTAAAATTGAAGGGTCAGAAAAGTGTACCGAGATAATATTTTCCTAATCTCATACATCATACTCTATTCTGTATTCTTTCGTACGATTAATTTTTCAATAATAAATGAGTAGATCGTTATTATCACGACGAAGAAGGTTCGTTATGTGTATTATACGTGTTATTGATCCGTCGACGGCGAACATCAATAAGGAAATGGAGCGGAGTTAATTTCGTAGCTATCAAAATTGGGGGTCATAAATTTTGGAAGAGATTACTAATAGCAAATATCGAAGAAACACATCGTGGTTTGAATTAATTATCCTTCTTCATAGATCGTGGAAAGTTAATTTCCTTGAGATACACAGCTACACGGTGTCCCTCTAACGAGATCATATAGATGAGAGATCGTTGCTAGGTCGTTATTCGATATGCGGATGGTATCATAAAAAATGTATGGAAACCGCCGTCCTCTTCCCGTTCAGAATGTTCACAGTTTTCCCAGATATTCTGCAATCCTCGTCGATTCATATCAATGTTCATTCGTACCGAACGGCTGCCAAACGACCGTTTAAAAAAATGATGTTACTCAGCTACGTGGAAAAAAGGGAAAAGAAGAGAGGAAGAAGGAAACTGACGAAACTATATTTACGAGGGTCGTAAAAGCGTTTAGCTTTAATGCGATTAGAACGAAACATTCAGGGCTCATGTTCTCATGTGCAGGCTTCTCTCGCAAGCCTTCCTTCGTCCTGGGATGCACTTGGCTCTCTGAAAAATTCATTCCACCCCAAAGTGAGAAGCCTAGCAAAAGAGAGAGAAAGAGAGAAAGAGAGAGAGAAAAGCTTGAATGAAAATTCCCTGTTAACGTACTTCCCGTGCGATCCACTGACCTAGCGAGCTACATCATGAGCCTTTCGGTAGCCGAAACGAGTCTTCTTGGCTCGCTAAGTCTTCAAGTTTCGACGTGGAATGCACAATTGATCGTCGTAGTTTAACTCGAAAGTCGGCGACCGACTCTACTTCTTTGATTATGCGAAGAGTTACGACAGACTTGCTGAGGAGTAAGGAGAACGAAATGAAGAAAGACAGATAAAGAAAGAGAGAAGAAGAAAAGTCAGTAAATTTTGGACCTTCGACTTTATTGGAATTTTAAGGCAAATGATCGATTTCAAACATCATAAAAACGAGCATATTGAATTATGATCTGGAAATTCGTTTCTTCTCGTTATATTTTTATAGACGCAATTATATCCTTAGATCTTTTTTTGTTATCTTATGCATAATTTACTTTGAATGTCATTTAGATTTCAACAAAAATAATTCGCGTATTCAATGATTAATAAAATGTGTTATGCAGTACACGAATATTAAATTAATTTCCAAAATAATTTTCAACGGAGATAATCAAGAAGATTAAAATTCTAATTGAACGTATAAGTCGCGTCTCTTTGTTTCTTTGTCACTTGAACATTAAGGAACAGGAATAGAGGAGGAAATTAAATCCGATCCAATTTACAACTTTGATTACCGACATTAGGTGTTCATCTCCAACCATTTCTCTATCTCATCTCTGTACATTTCTCTCTCTCTCTCTCTCTTTCTCGTTCGCTTTCTCTCTACCATTCAAATCGCGCGATTAAGCGTAAATCGTGAGCAGGTATCTACAATACATCTAGGCCGCTCAAGCTACGACTAAGATCCTTTCCATCGGTATTTCCATTTACGTTTGTTTCGTACAGAAATCCTGAGACTCACTTCATCACGATTATAAACTACGGTTTCTCTAAGTAATCACCGCAGATAAAATCTCCAACTTCTCCGAATAAACTGAAGAGGCTAGGCTCTCCGAGCATGTACAGCAATGAAAATCGTTGGAAATGTATAAGATCTGAGAACTCCAAGACGCGAGTAATTATATGTATAAATGAGCCTATATACATATAGCAATTATACATATATACAGAACCTTTGGTCTATAACAAGCAGCTCGAATAATACACGTGATTTCCAAGACGCGAGTAATTATATGTATAAATGAGCCTATATACATATAGCAATTATACATATATAGAACCTTTGGTCTATAACAAGCAGCTCGAATAATACACGTGATTTCACAATCATTATTTTTAACATCTATCGCCCTTGCATGTTGTTCGCGCCTTTAATCACATCCAACGCCTTTATTCATTTATTCATTCATCTGACATATAGACATAATTCAAGAATTCTCGAGGATTCGAGAGAGAAGACCACCCCTTGAGCGAGGCATGAAATATTCGATCCGAAAGTATTTTCTCTCCCTCTCTCTCTATCTATCTACCTATCTCTCTTTCACTCGGTTAGCCAAGATTCCTCGGTGGCACTTCGCCCGACTCGTTAGTCATGGTAGTTAGTCATGCTACGTGCATCTCGTCTCGAGAACGACCAAGAGGAAGACGAGGGAGGTGGAGAGGCGCTTCATTCCGAGAGGGGTTAGCGGGACCAGAGCTACCCTAAGAGGGATAAAGGCCTCGGCAAGCGTCCTTCCTCGCTATCTCCACTTCCTCTTCTCAGCCGCGAGTATCCCCCTTTTTACCCCTCGAAACCACACTTCGGAGAGTTCGATGCGTTTGAGGCGTGCCGCTGCTGCACGGTGGCTATTTTTGTATGTACATACAGCCTGTGTAACATGTCGGATGCATATAGTTGGCGTCAGAACGGTCGAAAACAACTTTTTTTTTCTTCGCTCTCCGTAGGAAATATCTCTCTCTCGAGTTGATTTCCATGTAAATTAAAGAACGGTAACAGGTGTATCAGAGCTTGTTAAGATATTAATAAGATGGTTCCAACATTCTGGCCGATAAATCACCGTGCGCACTGCGCATTCAATGTTATAACGACCTTATTATTATCACCTTCGTGATTTATATAGAAGTAAGCCTACGGAAAAGTTTCCCGCTAAGTAAAAAAAAGTGTTCGAACGCCGTTTCAACGCCGATAAATCACGACGTACCCTCACGTGCGTAAACGTCCATATGCGAGTGCCCGTTTTACTTGTTCCCCTGTATGTGCGTGCGTGATATGCGTGTGTGTTCTACGGTGCCGGTTTCATAACGGCAATACCATCGTTCCCGAAATATTCCCGGCGACTCGAACTCGGAGGAATTCCTCCTTGGTCGTTTGAGAGACCAAGAATAAAGGCGATTAGGTGAGTCGCTGCAATAAAGATAAGCCGACGGAAAATAGTTCGCACGAGGAAACACCTCGTCTGCGTTATGAGACCGGCACGTGATTCGTATTGCTCGTATGTGTCGTTCTTACCCTGTCTCCACCCTCGTCCGAACGTCCCTCCGTGTTCTCCAGTTGCCTTGCGTCCCCCCCCTTTCAAGCTTGAAAAAAAAGAAGAAGACCAAAGTACCGTTTTCTCGTCGCGTGGATGTAATGCAATGTACCTTTTTACTACTTTGCTTCGTGCACTCTCGTATCTCCGTAGCAAATCTGAGTTAACTTGCGTTCTCGGCAGAACGTTGATCAATTAATGTGCCGATTGAAGCGGTGAAAAACTGAAAAAAAAAAGAAAGCAGAAATCACGATTACTTTTGTATTGTAGTTTATTTTATGTGTTAAAAATCTGGAGCTGGGAATAATTCAACGTGTCTTACGCAAGCGCTTTGTTTTTTTGTAAATGTGTGAGATAATATACTTAATTTTAATAAAAGCGGAAAATGGTTTCTTTTGCTGTTAAATAAAACAATATATTTATAGTTATTTATTGTTAACATTATATTTATATTAAAATTACCGTTTCATTTTTATATATATATATACAATATTATTTTCATGCATTACTTTTGTATATTTATTTTTTTCAATAGTACAAAAACAATTTTCAAAGTTTAAAGGTCCCGTTTGTAGCATCATATAATGAGAAATTTATTACTCTAAATGCACGCGAACGCGTCATTTCGTTTGTAATAATCTATCGCTGATTGGAAGGTTCGTAATAATGAAATAATTATTTTATACAAGTCATTCTGTTTATGTTTGAATTATTTAATTGTTGTTTACCAATACAGCGAATAGCATGGTTTAATTTGAGAAAAGGTGTTAAACAAGGAGTTCTCATTTATCGTTAAGTGTGAATTTGAAAAAGACGAATATTTTCCAGCCTCGACCGTATTTGGCGCTTCTCTACTTATTATTATCCACATAAGCGATCTAGTTAAATGAATATTTTCTTGATTACGAGAGAAGCATGTAATTGTTAATGAACTTGTTGGATGCACGATAGACATTGCGTTTCAATGAGCGACGGTACATTGTACATTGCATGTGTATCACCGCACTTTTTAGTAACGTAGTCATATTTAGACCCACTCTCCCGATAAAGAGATCGACTCGTGTAGCTACCAAGAAAAAGTGTCGATTCATAGTTCTTACTGTAATCTAGTCTAGACACTTTGGACTTCTATGTTTAACACTTCGCGCTTGAAATTCTTCTGACCTTTCAAGATGAGCTACGGATTTATACTTACGAAAATGTACGCGCGTACACAGGGTGTCCCCAAGTACGCTTCATACAGCGAGATTCTTTGTGTGATCGAAATTTAAAATCAATTGAAAATCAATTTCTCTTTAATAAAAATATCGAGAAGCGTTATAACACGTAAATATTATATCGCGAACAATTAAAAATTAAAAAGTCTCTTCGAACTAAACTGCAGTCACGTAGTACGTGTTAAAATCTCGCGCTTCAGTAAATTTCAAGTGAACTTTACTTGAATAAAACTTTAATTAAAAGCTACGTTACAGCAAGTTGTTTATTATTAAACGTTGAAAAATTATGGACGTGAATGGTATCTGATGTAATTTTCATCGGGAAAAAATCAACACGAGATTAATCAAAGAGTCTCGGTGGAGCAGTGACGTAAAATTGGGAACAGTTCCCCTATGTGTACAACATATACAAATCTATACGTATATATATGCATGCACACGTGTACTCTCAGATATTCGTGTTTGAACAATTTTTGCGTCAACACGAAATACTTAAAATAATATTTTAAGTAATTACATATACAAAATTTCGTACATTGCTAAGAAAAATGTTCAAAACGTTTAATAAAATTATATTCAGTAAAAAAAACGTGCCAATTATCTACACACACGCAACAAAAGCTTATAGTTTCAATTTGTAATTCATTATTATACCGATGCAATATCGCTTGTCTTCTATTATTTAGTCATACTTTTTTACTTTCTATCTTATACTCCTCTTTCCTTCTTATAGTTTAGTTTTCTTGCACATCTACATTTTAGATGTGCCTACATAACAGATAAAAAAGGGTGAGTTATTTATTTTCATAATAAATAAAAACGAAAGTTTCCAGTCTTATCCTATTCTTTTTATTTCTGGCAAGACACTTTACTTTTTGCTCCAAAGAAGCGTTTCCCATCTGGAACGTACAAAATAAATATAAGAATCAAGGAAAAGAGAGAGTTTCGCTCTACTAGATAAATAAAGATGTATGGCTATTATACTGTACGGTACAAATAGATTTATTTTAGGGATATAAAATCTTATTTAAAAATACCAAGCTCCGAGGACCATAAATTTCAGCGACCTTACTCTCGTAGGAATGCGCAAGAAGTCTCTGAAGTATATGAGTTTAGTTATATCTTGATTTAAGTACCAGATGGTTTTTAATAACTTACGACGAAAACATTTGTATAATAACATATAATTTTAAAAAATAATAGTTGATTAAATATCATTTTAGACATTGCATTTTATAAAGAAATGAAATTATCATTTTTAAATATGATAGGTTATGTATTTTAAAATTTAGATTTTCCTAAAATTACGCAAAATGATTACTTATTCATAAATTAATTTGTGTGAAATTTTAGAGCATATAAATATAGAATTTGTAATATCTCATCTCTTGTTCATATATATCATTCGCTTACTAATTAATCTTTTTCTCTTAAGTTGTCTCTTGTCTGAGACGTGATGAGTTTTTCTGCATATATTCACTGATATATAGAACCTACAGTTTTTTAACACTGAACGGTCTCTCTATTAGAAGAGATTATTATGGTAAAGATACCCTCAGTGGTTTGCCTTTCGAAATGATGATTAAATAAAATCTGATGTGCGTTCTGGACGGATTTGAACTGGTTTGGCACAAACACCAGCCACACAACTCTCTACGGCCTATACGCCACGATTGCTACGATATATATATATATATTTACTAAATAAACATTTATTATTTATAAATTGGAAATTGATATTTGCGTGTATCTATATACATTATATTTATCAATTTAAAAATTGCTCATATATAAAATTTCAAAAAGTGTTGTGAATTAAAATAAATTGTTATTTTATTAAAATTATTGAAATGTATAATTTGAGCTACTTATCAATATATTGATAAGTTCTTACATTGTAATCCCTTTTTTTATATAGATGTTTTATAGATTTTATATATAGATTTTTTATAATAATGTATTATTTTTTTGTGTAAAAATTTTATATACGTTATGTTATAGTACATATAACTTTCATAGAAGTTTCGCATGATTTGACAAATATTCAGACAATTTTTATATTTATTTATTCACATTTTTGTATTAGACAAAAATGTCACAGATAAAGTTCAAAATCTACTCTAGAGGCATTATAAAATTGATTTTGCTGTCCGGTTCTTCTGACCCAGGCACCCTTTTTGAAATAACCCTCTTTTGCCCACACATGCATTTGCTGACTAGTATGAGGTCCATGTATCTCTGCATTTTCATCTTGTGACCATTTCAAATCCCACGTTACATTTTCTTCTAGAGACGTATTTTCTTCTGCATTGCTTGTTTCTGCTGTCTTTCCTGTATAGTACAATGTATATTATGTATGGATGATACATAAAAAAATATCTATACAAGAACAAAAAGTAACAATATATTGTAAAAATGTTTGTCATTAATAAGTTATATTACCCACCATTATCAGTGTCATCTAGTTTCGCCTTCTCCTTTTCATCAAAATCATCAGCATACATATCTAGCTCTGCTTCTTGTTTTGAAGGGTGTGCATGTTTATCTGCTTGTTCAATCTATAAAATATAATTTCTTATAATTAAACCATAATACACACAATTGAGTCATTTGTGTCCTGTGCATTTCTTTTCTTTGAAATATTAGGAACACTTAGCTAAATAATAGTTTCTAACTGTTACTTTTTTTAAATACATAACTAAATTATGTATTTAAAATATTACAAATATGTTCTAAAGATAAGGGATATATAAAGAAAGAATCACTTAATAATTTATATATATATATATTTATTTATGAAAGTGATGAGAGAAAATTAATCGGGAACATAAGTGACCCACCATGTATAGCAAAGAAATATCATCCCGCGTGTGTACTGAGGGTTAAGATAATATATACTATACATAAATGTTAAAAGAGAGAGAGTTTTTACCTTCTTTTTTATTTGTTCATAACTTTCTTGATATATGTTCATATTACCAGTGCGTGTTAATAATTCATTTGCCAGCTCTGTTAACTTTGTTATGTTAATAGAATTTGGATCTTCCTCTTCTTTACCTGTTTTGGATTCCTTTTTCTTTTTCCACCTTTCAGCTGTAGTCAATTTCTTTTTTCCTTTACCTGGATTGGGACAATCAGCATTATTTATTTGTGATAATTTGAACATATGCTCTATTGCGTTTACCAAGTCTGCATAATGTCTTTGAAACAGTTTCACCAGGTTTAAGATATTCTAAAATTTGTTTATACAATGGAATAGGATCAAACATAATATCTCCCTCATCATCACTATCGCTATCTCCCAATCCATAACTTTTGCTGGACTTGGTACTTTTTTGTAAATTAGTGGTGGAACCAGGTTTAACCTGCGAAAAAAATATATGTAATATTTATCAAACACTCAAAATTCATTGAATTATTAAGAAATGATAAATACTGCTTTGAAATTCCAGAGTATAATATAATTCTTGGAATGATACAAAATTGGTAAAAAAGGAAAATTTTGCATTTTTATATATTAGTTAATTCTCAAAAGCAGATTTCATGTTATATTTGTTCACCTGGACCCAATCAATATTGTCCAGCCAGTTATCCCTAACTTGCTTCTCTTTCTTCCAAAGGTAATGGCCATCTTTATCAAAATGACCTTCCTCCAACTCCTCTTTCATATTAAATGCTGTAAATCCTACATTTGCTTCTGGTGCCGAGGGTCCATCTTCTGTACCTGTTAGATAGGTGTAATTAAGCTATTCCATATATATCAACTTGTACAAAATAAGAATTTACAATAAAAATAATAATGATAAACGTAACATATTGATTTATCTATATAATATTACATATCCAATTCGAGATACCTTCAAATTCATCTTCATTCATGATGTTATAGGTATCTTCATTTACTTCATCGTCATCTTCATCAGAGTCCAATGAATTCTTAAGTGGTTGCTTATTAGATGCATCTTCCATATCATCAAATTTACGTTTCGACATGGTTTTTTTATGACACCTACTTCTTTTTGTCAAAGATAAGCTTCTACATTAAAGATTTACATTATTCGAAGATTGCAACATAAATTAAATAATTATTGTGTACTCTAAGATGTATATTCTAAAATAATATTAATTGTACTCTACTGAAAAAAATTACGTCACAGAGTTGTATGATCATGTAATTAAAACATGTAAATCAAATAGTGAATTGTTCCAAATCACTGCATAATTTTTTTTAAATTACGTAATTTGAAAAGTCACATGATGATATGTTCTTTTTTCTTCTATTTCTATCATTAAATTTTTCAAAATTTAATAACTATAAAATCACATAATGGATGAAATTATTTCTAATATTATGTGATTTTTCGAATTACGTGATTGTAAAAAATCACATACTGATTTGGAACAATCCATTATATGATTTACATGTTTTAATTACATGATTTCATCATGTAACATGATATGATTTTTTTCAGTAGGGCACTATATAATAATTGTTAAGTATTCTGAGGTGTGTACAACTAAAGATATATTTGAAATACTTCTACAATAATTGAATATTACATACATTTTTCAGAAGTAAACGTTTCGTGCTGTAGAAAATTCTTTCGTGTTTTGAGGTGCCTTGATGTCAAGAGGTTAGTTTATACTCAGGTTATATTGCGACGTAATTTCCAAATGTCGGTTATTTTATCCGTTATAAAAATTTTGCTCCACAAAGCTCGTTTACAAACATTTTTTTATTTACAATTATGATTCGCGTGACATTTATTGTCAGGATCGTGAGTAAAATTTTCAAAACAGCATTACTTGGTAGGTACAACAATCAGATGGAACTTCCATTTTACTCACTCTCTCACTCTCCTGTTCTATCTGCTATCTCTATCCCTACCAGTAGTTCCAATTATTTTGCGTTACTCGCCCGCCACCTTACGATTTACATCAATTCTCACGTGACCACGCATGTGCTGAAAGGAGGTGTAAAGTTGAAGCAGAGAAATGTGTGTATGTAGTTTTTTTTAATGAAAACACGTATTTTCATGTATTTGACAATTTTATTTTTTTACAATGATGATGAATAAACAATTGTTAACATTAACATAATCAATCGATTGTATATCAAATCTATTAATCTATTTTTATTTCACGTTAAATAATGGAATATTGTCAAAATTATTAAAAAATTCATAATACATAGTGTTCATACAATTTTCCAGAATTTTATATTGCCAAAAAACATAAAAAATAAATCTTTTGAATGTATAATATAGTATAATTACTTAAACTAACACATATTAACAATGCATAGATTTCATTATGCTGTTTTTATATTTGCGTGATCCGCCCGTATTCCTTTTATTTCCAATAGTACAAATTATTTTTTAAATGTACTATTTTTACTCTAGTACAAAATAATGGCCAATATTCCTTCACACTATTACGCCATTTAGAAAATGCGATTCATTTAATACATCATTGTTACAAACTTCCCTTTAATGGACTTTTGATGGTAATCTAATCGCTTCACGCTTCCGCTTTGACAATAAAAAGTATATATTTTCAATATATATTGATTCAATAATCTTATTTGTTGTAATATCAATATATAGTATATAATATTAATATTTCACATATTAATATTTCACATACTTATACTATTTTTTGAATAATATGTAAATAAATAACTATTCCATGTACACTTTTTTTAGATATTTGGAATGTTTACTATACCGTAGAATAAAATTTCTTCTACAAATTGTGACTGATATAATTGTACTTGATCCATATTTTAACTAAATGCGTTCAAATGGGAACTTGATGTCATATATATTATTTGATGCTAACACTTTGATTTAATTTTGGCTTCGACAAACGTATTATAAAACGTGTACAGCATATTGAAAATAATTATGATATATTCATAATATGTTAATCCGAGCCAGCGCAATTGATCTTACTGAGATGTGGATAAACGATAGTTTACATTAAAAACTTGAAACATTTTAGAAACATCTTCTGTGTTTTAAAAGTAATTCAAAAGAAAATTAATTATCACATGATTCTTTTGATGTAATATTATATAATTTTTCTGAAAAATAAATAATTACAAACATTCATAATAAATATAAATATTGAACAATAGGCGAGCTCTTTTGAATTAACATAAAGAATATGTTTCAGGTACATGCTAGTTATTAGGAAATGTTTTGTTTAACTAATATCACATATAAATAAAAGTGAAGAGATTTATGGAACACATAGCACAATTAAATATTTTAAATTTGTAAATAAACTGTAAATAAAACTTTCTTAATATGATATATACACATTCTGTGAAATGATTTAAAATAAATAAAGTAGTAAGTCTTTAAAATTATTGCAAATGTCTTAAACAAGCTTTAATATTAATTTTAATATCTTTGTTAATTATGTAATATTAATTAATTAATATATATATATACATATCTCTTACAGTACTATACATACATATATATCAATGGATTATAGACGTGGAATTTGTTAACAAAGAGATATCTAGCATGTATTTTTGCAAATTACGGGATAGAAATATACCCTCTTTATATGAATTATATTAGAAACAATATGAATTATTTAATGAGTAGCCATTTCCTCCCTTATTCATTTCCTCTCTTATTCATTTGTATTACAATATAATAGTTATAAGATTTATAGCATCTATATAATTAATTTTTAAATTATAGTAAATCTCGAAAATGTGAAATTAAAATGAATATGAATGTGTGCAAATAGTATAAAAGAGAATTTCTATTAAAAGTGACATATTTACAAATTAGAAATTATGAGCAATCATATGCAGATCTTATATATAAAGTTTTTTTATATGTACCATTATAATGTAGCAAGAAAAAATGTATAATATATAAATAAACGTAACCATTAACTTTTCTTATCACAATATTAAACTACTTCTATGGCTTTTAATGATATACATATATAATTCCTTTTTTAATTTTAAATAAATATAAGTAATTCTTAAAAGTGATATTAAAATGAACATGCATGCTGTACAAATTGTACAAAAAAAAATTTCTATTAAAAGTGTATTTACAAATTAGGAAGTATGATAAGCAATCATATGTAGATGTTAAAAAGCTTTCTTAGTGTTTCTATAAGTTAACATTGTAATGAAGAGAAGAAAAAATGTATAATATATAAATAAAGGTAACTTCCAACTTTTTTCTTATCACAATATTGAGCTACGCACTTCTATGGCTTTTAATGCGCGGTGTCCTTGAATAACAGATAACTGGAAGTACTGAAGTTTAGTTTCTATGACTCATATGTAAGCGTTATTTGCAGAACATCGAATTAAGTAATGATAATTACTTTTCAATAGTAAACTTATATACACTTTATAACGACAAAACGAACTAATATGTTATGTAATTTCTTATCTCATCTGAGATAAAAAATCACATTTTAGTTTTACATAATCATGATACTAATATTATTTATCCTAAATGCAAATTATCACTTTTGTTTATTATAATATAAATACATACTTTTTATATGTCCATTTTTAGCTTGTTTTGTGTTTTCATGAGTATAATTTTATTCTCATGTATATACGTTCTATATATTGATTATTCACATATATTGATAATTTCATTGTACCATATATTTGTGAGAACACTGCATTAATCGCCCATGTTCGTTTTTTCTTGTAATATTTGATAATAACATGCCTATAATAAAATTAATTAAATTTATTAAATAATCCTTATTTTTTCATATATTATACATTATAATCATATCTGACCTTAAGAGTAGTGAACATAATGCCAAGTTCTCCATTTTGCAAGTACGGCTCCATGAAGTCTTCGATAAAATGTATTTCACTTCCTAATTGTAATACACTAGCACGGACTACAACAAAACTAAATACCGGAAATAGTTCGTCCATCGTCCATAAATATGTAGACCCTAGTTGTTTTTGTACTGCCTATTGTTAAAAACATAGAGAAATGTCTTAATATAAATAATTTATTTAAACGCATTGCATAAATAGCAATATCAATATTATCGCCTATGCATGTATTCATACTTGTGTCATTTGTTCAAATGTATTTCTGACCACTAGTAGCTTTTCTAAAGGTGAAAAAGTCGTTTTAAGTTGTTGTAAAGTTTCTATGGCCTCACTGAAATATGGTTCATGCTGATATGGTAACGAATTGTCTGAAATGCTTATTACATTTGTAGTTTTCCAAAATTTCCTGCAATTTCGTAAGAAAATGTAAATAATTGTAAAAGTTAAATACAAATTAATTAGTATAATAAAGTAATGTATCTCTAAAGTATCTCTGTATGACAATTTTGTTTTATTATCATAAATTTATAATATATTTATATATAAATTTACTACTTACTGATCAATTTCAAGGAAGGCCATCAGAGTTATATCGGGTTGCTTATTCCATTTCATCAATCTTTCCCAGTATGCATCATCCTCCTTTTTATTATGTAAGGCGTATAATACAAAAAGTGCTGAATGTACACGTGGCAGTAATATTGGATGAAGTATCGTGGCAGCGCTTATGACTTGCCTAAAAGTAAATATTTTTAAATTAGAAAGTGTGTGCGTTACTAATTTGAGATAATCTTAAATATAATTTTTATAAATTTTACAATGCATACTCTTCTTCACTATCAGTTTCAAGAATATACTCTTTGCCACAACGTGGAAGAGCAGGGAATAAAAGGAGTACAATCTCATATATTCTTGCTGTAACACTGTGAAGCTCTGATACTGCATGGCTAAGTAATAATGGATGCACTCTTACTCCACCATAAGTAGCTGTGTATACTGCAGCAATTTCCGTTAAAAGAGCGCCCAATGGATGATGCGGGCTTTCAAAAGCTTTCACTAAATACTTGTGAACTTCATTGTAAGTCTGACTAGTGAGTTTATCTCGTCCAAAACCTGGTATCTTATCCAGTTGATCGATAGTTTCGCTACTTCTTTCTTTTGTATTTGAAGTGTTGGTAGATAGCTTTTTTCGTTGCAATGTTTTCTGATGAGATTTTGTTATTATACTTGCAACATTTTGCCATACTTTTTGCGTTTCTACAGATTTTTCATTGTAATTAAAATTTTTGGTGACTGGTTCAGATATACCAAGTTGTTGATAGCATTGTTTAAATATTGCTTTCCATTTTTGATCAGGAGGTACACATAGTTTTCCAAAAGATCTAACAATAATGAGAATAATGTAAAAAGTTACTCTTATTAATTAACTACTAATAATTAATTATTTGCTACTATTAAAACAATTTTTAACATAAATATTTAATATTACATAAATATATATATATATATATATACTTACGCTGGTTTTGAATTAGGTTGCGCAGTTCCACTAGCTTTATTCATATGCAATGTGGCGATAACTTTGACACCTTCATTCCATGCACCATTCATATTACCTTCTAATTTATCGCCACTTCGGAATGTTAATGTACCTTTTCCGCAAAATATTCCTGCGGACTTAAATTCACCTTCATAATGTGTGCCATCTTCAAATACCATTACCCCATGACCCTTTTAATAAATAATAACAAAATTAATAAGTTATGTTGTTAAAAAAATATTTTACATAAAAAAATGTTCAAATATATATAATCACCGTCAAGACATCTTGCGTAAAAACACCTTCATAGTAAATACCATCAAGTGTTACGATCAAACCATTACCATGTTTCATACCATTACTCCATGACCCAAGATATTTTTCACCTGTAACACCATTAAATTATTAATAATATGTATGTAATTTTGATATTAAAAAGTTATATAAAATTACTCTCATATTCTTTTTAGAATTTTTTCATTTGTTGTT